GACAGCCTCTATAATCTCTTTCTGTCTCTAATCACCATGAAGAAGCAGAAGTGAGTAAAGTCCTCCAGAAGTCAGGGAGGGGGGCATGTGGACTTGGGGATACTTGGGAGGCACAAACCCTTGTCACAGAGAAGTAGAAAAGTACTACTTTTAGAAAAGTTCTACTTCTAGAAAGGTAGAAAATTCAGTCCACCTCTGGCAATAGAGTGCCAGGCTGAAAAGCAGAACCATGCAAATGAATCCTTTCCAGGGTATGTGAGTCTCTTCCTGCAGAAATTTAAACAAAAGGGGGGATGCATTTGCAGGGCATTTGTTTTGAGGTATTAATTAGACTTATGCTATTAAGAAGTGTTTGAGCATCTTTGGAAAGATGGAAGACACAACCTTTCTACTTAATTCAATCTAACTGAAAACAAACTAACAGTGACTAGGTGGCAGGACCTTAAAAGTGACTGTTGGAAACTGGGTAGGTGGGAGAAAGGTAGAGAGAGAGCCCTTTATCCCACACAAAGTTATGAGTCTAGTCTCCATTCTTATTACCTTTGGTCATATAAAAATGGTACTTCATTTCCAATTTCAATTATACACATGTATTTTTTTAAATTTTTATTTAAATTCAATTAATTAACATATAATTTGTTATTAGTTTCAGAGGTAGAGGTCAGTGATTTGTCAGTCTTATATAATACCCAGTGTTCATTACATCACATGCCCTCTTTAATGTCTATCACCCAATTATCCTATCCCCACTCCTGCCCCCTCCAGCAACCCTTAGTATTTCTGAAAGCAATGTGAAAAGTCCACGGCAGATACAAAATGAGTTCGTGATACACTGTACCGTGGTTTAATACTCAAAAACAGTGTGCTCTAAATAATACTCAACACATGTGGAATGAGGAGAATGAATGAAACAATGACTAAGCCTAACTTACATATTTCTGAAAAAGTAAGAAAGTTTGGAATTGTGGGGCTCAGAAATATTAGTGTATAAAAATCAAAATTATCTTTTAAATATCTGAGAAAACCAAGAGACATAAAATTAATTAGGCATTTTAGAGTGGCCAAATTTTTTAACTCATTTAACTTTTTAAAATCTGCCCAAAGCTCTGTTTCTGATTTGGAGAGTAAAACATCTAAGGAAAATTGGATATAAAGAAAAAAAATCAGAGATTGTTGGATTTGAGTAAGATTTTAGAGTTAATTCTGTTAACCACCTTATAGATGATTAGAAGCAGATCCAGAAGGAATAAGTGAGCTACCCAATCCTAAAGGCAAAATTGGGATTGGAGGTCAAATGGGGCGCTTCCTTTATCTGAGTTTTTAAACACTGTATATGGTTACAGTACACATAGCAAAGCCAAATTGGACTTGCAAAGGTAATTCAGGGGGTAACTGAGAAGAATAAGTAGACTATGGCATGAAGTCAAAGGTCAATTGTCAACTAACAATAGATCTAAAGAAACTGTTGAAACTCTTTTTCCAAGAGAAAATCTGAAGACAACTGCATAACGTAGACAAAGGCAAGCTCTTGCATAGTCAATTTATGCTCTTAATGTGATGATGTTTTTAAACAATATTTGTTTTTCACTTGAATTATGAATTCATTGTAATAGGTTTCAATTGTTTTAATATTTGCATTATCAAATATTTTATCATTACTCAACTTCCTATCATGAACCCCATATTTTAAAATATCTTATCCCTTTGGCTCAGGTCATGATCTCTGGATTGTGAGATTTAGCCCTGCATCAGGCTCCATGCTAAGCATGGAGCCTGCTTAAAATTCTACCTCTCCTTCTTCCTCTGCCCGCTCCCAATAATATATAATAAAATAAAATATCCTATCCCATTAAGTGTATTTTATTCAAATAATAAATGACTAATTTCCCCAATCTTATCAAAAGATCAACACGAGATCATCATAATATTGATAATAATTCATGAAGAGCAAAGAAAAATATATTAGTGATGTTTTTCATGAATTAATGTCTAATTCATAAAAAATTCTTGAAATATTTTTAATGACATCATTTCCATTACTGTTTTCCAAAGACCCATGGATGTAAGTACCTGGATCTGGAATTATTAAAATGGTGGGACTCATTCTAATTATTAGATTCAGGTTTTATGAAATTATGTTGATTCTTATAGTGTATTCTTTTTCCTAAGCTGATAAGAGAATAAAACCTCATTCATCATTTGGCAGTAAGGTAGGTTGGGATGTAAGATAAAGCTTATTATAAAGCTTATTAATCCACAGACCCTCTTTATGAAATTGTGTTTATTATGCTAAAGTATGAGAAGCAAATAAAAGCTTTTGAAGAACATAAGTGTATTTCACTGCCTCTCTACTTAAATTTTCCTTCTAGTTATTTTAGTTACTTTTAGTTACTTCCTCACTCCAGCATCTATGACAACTTATTTTTATCATTAGCTGCTCTAACACATACCCAGGTAGCATCATGATGTTGGAATGTTTTATTATTGCACTGGAAATTATCCTCTAAACTTTACAATGGAAGTTAATCCAGAAAATCAGTTTTAACTGCATTGCTCACATAGGTTAAAATTCAAGGAAAATATTTGAGGTAATAATAATTAGGAATAAGACAGCATCCAAAATTATATTTTCATGGAAAATCCAATACAAATCCTGATTAAAACCTAACCAAGCAAAACGCTGCAGATTACCTGGATTCCAATTAAATGCGACAAATGAATACTTGACAGGTTTCAATTCCAATTCTATTTATGTCAGAATGATCCATTAATATTGAAGATAAAATTACCAGAATTCAAACAACATAATTGTACTTTATGGCTAGATAGTAGTCTGAAAACTTGGACCCAACAAAACTTATTCAAATGACAACTACTGCATTTGGATCACCCAAAGTGAATCACATCTCCTTCTGTCATTACCTATAGATCAGGGCTAACATGAATCGCAGCTAACAGATGACAACTGATTATATAAAACTGAATTTCAAGTGTCAGTCACATACAAAATCAGAAAAATCAGTTCTATTATGATAGTCTTTGCTGTTAACAAGACTAAAAACATGGTTATAAAAAATAACTAAAAGCCTTACTTGGCAAATGTTTCTCAGCAACTTTCTAGTTTCTTAACAAGTTCACATGTTAAGTTTTCCATCTATGTTTCCTAAAAAGTAACCGATATGTGTTTACCATATATAATTATGTTTGTTCCTTGTCATTTCTTACTTATTTTAAAGGTGTTGAATCCACTTAAACTCAAAAAACAGAAAAATAACGTTAAAATGTGAATATAATGACAATGATACAAAGTCCTTTCTGTTAATATAGCTGACATCTAAAAATCAAGACTTAATTGTACATTATGTTGTTTATTGTGAGATACTTTTTAAAACACAAATAAAACTATATCATATCATCAAAAGGTAATCACAGGTATAGGAATGTCCTTAGATCAATTCTGCCTTCCTAGGTGTGTGTGTGTGTGTGTGTCTAATATTATTATAGTATTTTAATTTTTACTTTTGTGCAAAGCATTTCAATCATATTTGCCTTAGAAATAAGTTCATCAGCAATGCAATTCATACCAAAATTTTTATAGTCATTTAAATAGATACTAAAAAACTTAATTCTTAAAAACCACATCAAGCTCCCATCCACATAAGCATACACCACCATACACACAGATAAGCATGCCTTTATAGCCATAAGGCAAAATGCCATTTGAACTCTGGATTATTAATCAAGAGGGATATCAATCATCAGACCCTGATATCATATCTTTTCACCCAGATAACAGTGTGGAAAAATAATTATTTAACATGATTTAGTTTAGCCATAATTTCACTTGGGGTCATTTATAATCTATTACTCTCTAAGACTATATTTTAATATTCATAGGTAAACTTCAAGAAAATCAGACTTTTCCTGCATTAATATGCTCTATTTGCATACCATCCTTAAAGAAACTGGTATATAACAGAAAGTTGGTATGTCTTATTTCAGTTGGGGGAATGGGATGGTGAAAGACAAATCCATTTCAAGTTTTCACTGGAGATAAAATGCGTGATTCCCCTTCCTTCCCCTACATATAACCAAATCTCTTTTTACACTTGAAATAATAATAAAATTGATATAAACTTTACCATTCCATTATTTCACACAAGCCTACTCCTCAGGCATTTACTTATAACCTGAAATCCAAAAAAATACATCATTTAATTGTTTTGGGGAACATAAACAAGTGTGAAAAGATTTATAAATACTATTTGCAATCTAACTTTATAACTTAAAAGAAAGTGTATAGGAGGCCAATTGTTGTGGTCCTCATGAGAATCATTTCACAACAGGATAGGAACATATAGAACTAAAATTTGCTTTCTTCTTTTTACCTTGTACAAAACTAAAAGAAAAAAAAAAACACGATGTATACTTAAATGAGAAGGGAGTTCTTATAGGATTTACAATACATTTCTGGAGAATAAGATAACACTGTTCTCCTTGTTTGACTCCATTTCAGCTATCACTCAAAAAGAGAGGTTCACAAATGCTTTAATAAATACCTAGGAAAAGAAAGAGCAAGGTGTGTTTATTGTCATTTCCTTTCACTAAGGCTGGACAATTGCATTTGAAGAAATAGTTGCATGACAAAAATGAATAGAAGAAAACAATAACACAAGACCTTTCTCAGTGGCTATTGTTTAGGTATTATGAATTAATTTAGGTTTTTTTTTTTTTTTCATAGCAGGTACTACTCTGATTTATTTGGAAATGTGTTTATTTCTGACAGGCTATTTTAAAATGATGGTGCAAGCTCGGTGAATTTTATCTGTAAGGTTATGTTCCTTTATTTGGCATTTCTGTCCTTTAGCAAATATTTATTTTTTTAGATAAAATAGTTTTAGTGTCAGCTATTTTATTTGGGTTTTAGACTGACCCTTGCAAGTTTACTTATTATGGCTCACTAGCGTGATTATGTGTGTGGATGCTGTGTTTGCCCCTACCATTTTCCATATGCTCTGCCTCACCAACACTGCCATCCGGCGTGGTCCTTTCATAGTTGTCCTCTGGGAGTGGAAGGGCACCCAGCCTTGGCCCTGATGAACTCTTACTGCTTGGTGTCTCTGACTCCTCCAGCCCGCTGTCATAGCAACTCTGCAGTGACCCCTGATGTGGGTCCTGAGGCTGACTCACAACAGAAAACGTCACTCTACGAAATGGCTGCAAAAGAAAAGATTCTGAATGTCACTAAAATATAAGATTGTAAATGATCTTATTAAAAAACACATACATTACATACATCAAGGATTACTGACGACTAATTCAATACAAAATGCTTAGAGATGTGGAAAGCTATTTCGTTAACTGCATTATCTGAGGCAAGGCCTAGAACTTAGATTTTATTATGGAGAAAAAAAAAAAACACGAGAAATTCCCCTTCTGAAACAGAGATAAGAAAAAAGCAATTTCACTAAAACACACATTTAAATCTATGTTAGTACCACATAGTCAACCTTCTTCTGTAGTCGTCACTTCAAATATGCTTTTCACAATAGACTCTATAAAAACAAGTGTCACTGATTTGGGAAGGCAATAAATATTGAAGTAATCATTGCAAGAATTCATTTTTTAAAACTTCAGCTTTAAAAACTTTGTCTATATGATATAATGGTTTTAAAACGAATGTTCCGACAGGTGCATTAAACTATTTAAGGTACAAGTGATAAATAGGAATTTAGATGCAGTGCTAGAAAACAGGAATATATTTCTTACTTCAATCATACTAAAAACTATAAAGGTGGTATTAAAATAATAGATAAACCTTTCTTTAACCAGGGAATACAAAATAAACCAAAAAGCTTAATTGTATGCGCTTATGACTGTTTACAGTTTGTTCAAAAACAAAAAGTTACATCATATACTGTCTTTAAATTGTATCTTTAAAGTGTTGCATATTTTTATCCAGTTCGATCTCACAATTTACTATGGTACTGAAGTCGGCTGCACTGAAGATTTACTATGTGTGGAATTTACAGATTATTGTAACTACAAAATAAATTGAAAGCTTTAGTCTCATTCAGAGAACAAACTGATCTCATGCATTGATAGTGCTACATACATAATAATTGGAAAAAAATACAAAAATTTTCTGGAATAGCTATCTAAGATTATTCTTAGAAATAGTTATATCCATTAAAGATTCTTACATTGTTTGAAAATAGCAATTCTTAAACATATAACTCATCTGGTTCTTTTCAATATAAAGCATAAAACTAACATTGCCAGAAAATAGTGAGAAAGGTAAAAAACCTTTTCTGCACTTTTATAACTTGAATACTAATGGTACAAATTACTAGTCACAGCTGGGATCAGGATTATTTTTAAAGTGTTAATGATAATCTACACATGTTGGTCATTAAAGGGAAAGTTATGAAAAGTTATGGAATTTCCTCCAAATTTAAAAAATTGGTTTTACTACAGAAAAACACATGCTTCTGCAAATCTTCCTTGTATCTTGTCTCAGAAGACTTGCCAGGGATATTGTCCATTATTGGCATTCTTAACCAGTACCTTCTCTTTCATGTATTTATTTGGAGTATACAAACATCATAAAATTCTATATTCATTCTAGTTCAAAATCAATCTTTTAAAACCATTGAATCTTATTGTAAGGGAAAAACATTCAAAGCACATTCTCTTCTTTATAATGTTTCACTGAATTGGAACTGCAGTAAAACAATTATGAAATATTTCTAGTACAAAAAGTATATATATATCATGGCCCCATATTTACTGGCAATAAATTCTAGAAACAGTAATCTTACTTAACTAATAATTCTCACATTTCTTTACAGTAGTATGACGTTTCATATATACAAGTAAATATAAAAATTAATTTGTATTTGCTATGCTTTATCTTATGTGCACATATTTTCTTTTAATTATTTTCTATTTATCACTCTCAGCAAATTATCTGGATTTCTTCAGTCTCATCTAAGAAACAAGGCTGCTGATAGTTTCCTAAAACCACATTGCTCTGCATACAGAAGACACTCAGTAAATACTACTGAACAATGAGCTTTAAATGACAATACTGAATTTAGGAAAGCACTCCATTGGTTATTCAGACATATCGTTTCAAGACACAGCAATGGGTTAATATACACATGTAAAGAAAGAGAGTGGGAGAAAGGAGGATCAAATGCTGTTCTTGATTTTATTTTAATGGTTCTCAAATCTTTTAGAATCAGTCTTCATTAACCCAAAAGGAATGATCAAAATGAATACAGAAACACATAATTTGTCAATAAGTTGACAAAGGAAAAAATAAGAAATTATGAGAAATGTTGTTACATTTTGATATAAAAATAGAAAAGAGGGTGATGTTTAGCTGAAGGTAGTAAACTCAGAACCTGTGATTAAATGCTAGTTCCACCAAAAGTAGTGATAGGACAGCACAAAGGTGATAGGTTATGTTTGCAGTGAAAAATGTCAAAAATAAAATATTTTTTCTCTCATGTACTGTATAACAACTTCTATGAATCTGTGTATTTTCTTCATTTCTTACCCTATACTGATTGTATTTTAATTTCCACAAATTATTTTAGGTTGCATATTAAATTTAACGATGAAAGAAAAGTTATTATAAATTTTAAATGCTAAGATCTATTTATATAACAACAAATATTTAGATTCATAAATGCTTCATTTTGTATGAAAAGCTTTTTAAAAAAATAACATGTAATGGATGAAACAAAAATAATTCATAATAAAAATCCAAAATAAAGAATGTCAGACAATGGCTCATGAAAGACCCCATCATTTTTAACAACATTTAAAATAATTCCATTAGAATTGAACAATACGATGTCAGCATTATATTACTATCTCAAGCTCTATTTTGATAAAATTCTTGGGGCAAAGTATTTGATTTGGCAATGTGAACAAGTCAGTGTAGAATCCTAACTTCTGAAGGAAAACTCATTGTTGCAAGGGTTAAGCTTTGATTCCAATGGTAAATCAGATACAAACTAGATAGATAGATGTTAGGTAGAGCCAGAGAGACAGATTGATGGGCAGACAGACAAGTATTTACATACCATCAGTCATCATCAGATTGGGTCTATTGAGAAGATAGATTTTATAGCAGAAGTTAAGATACATAATTCACATGATTTATATATTCTAGAAATGCTGACTAAATAAGAAATGTAAAGTAGTGTGTTGACTGTGTGACGTGACAGAGAGAATGGATTTGCATTGTATATGTAACTATCACTGTTTGTTATTAGTACTCTGGAGTGGTTAATGTGGGGATTCCTAAACTTAGATGTGCCTTAGAATGGCCCAGAAAACTTGTGAAAAAACATAAAGCCAAGACACAGTTTCAACTTAGACTCAATGAATCAGCGTTCCGGGTGGGACTGGATATCAGTAGTTTGTAAAGTCCCTCTGGGTAATGAAGAGGGACTTATTTGAAGAAAGAGGAAGAAGAAACCCTACAAATGAAAGCAGCCAAAAACAAACAAACAAACAAACAAACAAACAAACTATACCAAAAAGCCAGGTGGTCCCTTAAACGCTCATGGATAGTGTTTTCCTGGAGAGTAACTAGAACCATGGCTCCATCTTGAGATGCAAAAGTATGGACATGAAGACTTGCTGTGACCTGAGCTATCTGAGCTTTCTATTTTTCTGTTCAGAGTAATGAATGGTTTCTTGTCTTGCAAAGGCAAACTGGTCTTTTTCAAGAAAAAGAAAAAGAAGAAAAAAGCACAAGAGGATGAGGAAGAGTATCAGTCTTCTAGCACGTTGAAATTGTGAGGATGTGTTCAAAAAGTAAATAAGAAATGCAATAAAGGGGTCTTCAAGAAAAGCATTCCAAAAATTGAGTGGAAAATCGGTGACAATTATACACAAGAGGGAGTGGTAATCAAAGATTTTAGGGAGGAAATGAATGATCTAATTGAATGAATGAGATTGAAGACATGATTTGACAGTGTTGTGCAAAAGAGTAGGAAGAAGAAATGTTGGAGGCAGAGAATTATGCTAGGAAACAGTGAACTTTGGAGAAGCAGCAATGGCAAAGGGCAGCAAGGCCATTCTAACATATAGCTGTTTGGATTTAGACATTGTTTCACCGTATTCTTAGGGTTTTGCGAGTGTCCCAACAATGGTTCTACAAATTTAAGAAATCCGAAATCAAATAGGCATATAGAAACAGATAATATAGAATATGATTAGGTTTCCAATGAAACTGATCTAGCAAAATGCCAAGAAAACTGCTTAGGATTTAGGGTAGGCATTGCAAAGGAGGGGGTTGTGGATTGAGACTTCTAAAATAATTTTGATAGATAACATATATTTGAAGGATCAGTTATAGATTCCATATTTGGGGGCAGCAGCAAAATATTAAAAAAAAAGGGGGGGTTGATAAGAAAAACAGATTTTTGAACTTTTGAAACTTGGAAGGATTAGAAGCAGATCATTTTTGGAAAGAAAGAAAATCTTATATGATCAAATTCATCACAGACATGGAGAGGGATTATGATTACCATATACCCATAGGATTCAACAATTAGAAGGTCATTGTTACCTTAAAATCTCTAAACTGTGAAGAATAATTCTATGAGATTAGAGCAAAGGAAGTAAAAGATCAATTTGTAAATACATGAGGAAATGGAGCAAGTGGGAACAGACTCCTAATTTTTAAAGCATGACATAAGAGAGTAATAGGATTGCAGTTAAAAGAAAAAGATTTGTGTAAAGAGTTTTATCTATTTATGCTCATTTTTATCTTTTTCTTCATGGTTACTGAAAGCATTTGCCTTAAGGTAAATATTTGAAGACAGAAGCAAAAAGCCTCATAACATAAGGTACAATGGGAATGAATGAAATCAGAGAAGGTAAGTAAACTAAGAATTAAGAGAAAAATTAAATTAAAAATAAAATTACATAAGGAAGATGTGGTCCATATACACTATGGAGTATTATGCCTCCATCAGAAAGGATGAATACCCAACTTTTGTAGCAACATGGACAGGACTGGAAGAGATTATGCTGAGTGAAATAAGTCAAGCAGAGAGAGTCAATTATCATATGGTTTCACTTATTTGTGGAGCATAACAAATAGCATGGAGGACAAGGGGAGTTAGAGAGGAGAAGAGAGTTGAGGGAAATTGGAAGGGGAGGTGAACCATGAGAGACTATGGACTTTGAAA